TAAAAACACGTTTTGTTTTATTTCGCTCTGATTTTTACGGCCCTTCGTGATTTTTACTTTCGAGTGTTGAAGCTTCACAAAAGAGAAAAAGGCCTGAAAAAAAAAAATCACAGAAATGTCGGAGCGGATCCGCAGTGCGCGTGAAACCCGGAGGATGGAGACGGCACGAGCCCGCGTTTAACCCCTGCAGCTGCAAAAAATGAAATGAAATAAAAATAAATTAAATTGAATAAAATATAATATAATACAATAAAATGAGCCGATACATTTCTTGTGGGCAGCCGGGCTCGTGCACGCAGAACAGCACGTTTGATTTCAGCTTTCACGTAAAAATAAATCAGGTGTTTCCGCGGGATCCGTCTAATAACTGGAAGGAAGGAAATTAAAAATTTCCACGAGCAGAGACGCGGAGATGATTTCTGTTTTCTGCTGTTGCATAACGACGCTGTGGAGGATGGCTCAGTGTGTGTGTTGTGTGTGTGTGTGTGTGTGTGTGTGCAGAGGATGCTGAATTATTCAGGACGCAGAGTCCTCGGTGCTATGTTAGTCAGAGCTCCGAGCAGGAGGTGAAGGAAGATGAGGAATCAAGAGAAAATCCACGCGCGCGCTTTCACGTCCTTCACGCACAGCGGTGACCATCAGAACCGAGCGAGGCCAAAATGCGTGGAATGATTCCACGCAGGTGATTTTTCCCCGCAGGGAACGTCTCCTCCTCCTTCTTCTTTCACTCACAGAGAATCTGATCTTCGTCCCGTTTTCATGTTTCCGCCGTGAATCTTTCGGCGTCTCCGAAATGCTGCAGTCTGATTGGTCCGAGGTTTGGCGCGCCGCTGCAGCACAATCCTCAAATCAGTTGAACAATAAATTTATGACATGCACATCGAAAACACGGCTCATGTTCACGTGTTTGGCTGTTTGTGAAACTCACACGTGGGCATCAAATTCAGAGTAAAGATCAGAATCGAAACTGTGGAGATTTTGTGGATTTTTAGGGTTAAAATTCCGTTTTTGGCGCATTTTTACGCACGAAAATGGCCTCGTGTGTAAAGGAGGTGGGTGTGTCCGCCGCGTGAAGCTACAGCACGCTGCTTTTGGCATGACACACTGCAGGCAACAGTGTGTGTGTGTGTGTGTGTGTGTGTGTGTGTGTGTGTGTGTGTGTGTGTGTGTGTGTGGTGAATGAGTGCACGCGTGCTTGATGGGAGGCGTGAACGAAAAAGAGGGAAATTAATTAATGTGCACGACAGCGGGTTCCATCAAACAGGAGTAATAAAAATAGCAGATAATTTAATAAAATAAAATAATAAATAAATAAATATCATGTGTGTGCGTGGGGGGGGGGTGCATTTTTTTAATGGATCAGAAATAAAAGCATCTTTGGAGATGAGAAAACAGAAATTTCACGCGACAAAAACGAGTCGAAGCGACTGAAATGTGTAAGAAAGAGAAAGAAACGGGGAAAATATAAAGAATAAAACAAACGCGCGCAGCGGGTTTTTTAAGGCGCAAACCAGAAATAAAAACGCAACTTTTGCGCAAGAAAAATGCTGCAAAAAGCCCCAAATTTACCCCCAAACTGTCGCAAAGCTCCGTTTGGATTTCTTTGATTCTTTATTAAAAATAAATTCCCGATAAAAACGTTAAAAAAACTCAAATTTGAGCTTTTGTGAAGCCGAGATGGGGAGGGCGCGTTTTTCTTTTTATACACTTAGTTGTTGCAGCCATATCATGCCAGCTATTAGAGATGATGTAATGCTCCAACATACAGCAGGGAGAGAGACAATGGAGAGTGAGGGGGAGGAGGGGGAGGAGGTGCGCTTTCATTCATTTTATTCAGATTAATTTCAGGCAACAGGAAGCAGAAACGTGAAACCCGCAGTGACAAAAATCACGTTAAGTTCAAAATGTTTCCAGAAAGTCGCTGAAGATTAAACATGAGGCAGAATTTAAAAACGCGATTTAGATTTTACTCAAATCAAAGATTCAAAAAAGAAAAACAGGAATTCGATCTAAAAATGCAGAAAAACCAGAATCAGGGTCATCAAAGAAATGCTGTCACGTGCTGCATCCTGACAGGAAGTGGCACAGAATGGGGTTCTTTTAACGGTGCCTCACGCGCATCCTCACGCGCATCCTCACGCGCTCGTGTTTCGTCCTCAAACTCTTTAAAGCCAAACACGGATCTTATTGAATCTGCGACCTCCAATAAAGAAAATTCAGCTTTAAAAAAAAGATCTTTTTGTTTCATTGTTGAAAAATAAAAAACATTTTTTCCTTCATCTGACAAACAGCTGCTCGGCTGCTTTTTCTACTGGATCACGTGGTCTGTGGTGCCTCTGCTGGTCATAAGTAATGATTTAATGCTGTTCACTCATTAAACACAGCGTATAATATACATTTTTATAAGAAAATGGTCCGAGGAGGATAAATAAATAACATTTCGTATTATTTAATGAAAACATTATTTATGGAGATTCTGTGACAATAATTCATTTAATTTAAACAAATAAAAAGAAATGAAGAGATATTATGGGACACATGGAATATAATATTAAAAGATAAAACCTTAAATAAATCCTCCTAAAGCTATACAAAAAGTCAAAAATTCAAAAAATCTGAAATAAATCCCAGAAAAAAAAAAAAGAAATCAATAAAAATCCAGATGAACAGAGACGAGATGAATCACACTGGATACAAATAGTTTGCTGAATTAATCTGTTGGATTAAAAAAGATCATCTTAATATTTTGGGGTTATTTTAAAACTAAACACAAAATGTTGTTTAATGAATGAATAAAACAAATTAATACATTTTTATTCTGAAAACATTTAAAACCTTTTAAATAAAAATGATTTTTAAATATTTCAGGTCAAACCGTCAGTACGTTACAATAACAGTAATTTAAATAAGGCTCATCATTAATGCTAATCTGTGTCAGTGTCATCAGAGTATATTTATACATCGATTAGAATAAAAGACATAATAAAATCACAGGTTCACTATCAGCTGATGTGCGGCGTTCAAACCCAGCTCGTTAAACGTAGCTCTGTGCAGATTTAATGAATCAGAAACACGAAGACGCAGAAACATGGAAACAATCACGAGTTTCATTTTTCAGAGGCAGGTGTGGTTTCTGTCCTAGCACGCCTTCACTGCGACACACGTCACTGGATTTATTGTTTCAGACTAGTGCAACGAAAACGTTTGATCTTATGATCTTATCACTCGAGCTAGCACCCACTCTCTAATTATGAAGTAATCAGCTGGAGACAACTGAAGGCCGACAGAGACTGAAATGAGCACAAAGACAAAGTTTGATCGATGGTTGAGCAGAGATCTGGGGTCAGGCTGTAGTTAGTGTAGCTTAGCATGAAGCCTGGAGGATCAGCGAGCCTGGCTTTGACCAAACTCCAGAAATGCATCTTCCAGTTCGCACCTCCAAATCTTCTCTCTGGTTGCACAAAGTAAAATTTAGTCGAGTGAAATGTGCTCGCTGTCTGGCTTTTATTCAGATTACAGAAAGTTCACAAAAGGAGGACGTGCAGTTTGTGTTTGTGACCACAAGGAGGCGTCAGGAACACAAATGTTGTTATTTAAACAGAAACCATTTAAAGGCCCAAAAACCTTTAAATGAAATCTTGTTAAATTGTTCTTTATTTTGAAAAACCGCCTGTTTAACCACATCTATCCACCTGATTAAATAAAAACAAATGAAAGGATTTTAATTATGCAATAACATAAATACAGACTGCTGGTACA